GAGGAAAATTCTGAGAGTGACTTAGACCACAGTTGGTACTAAGACCATAAAATACAATTACAATACAATTTAAAAAATGGGTAGAAGATGGAAGTGACTTGCTCTCAACATGATAAAAATCACTTCACTTACCAAAATTGCCCCTTCAACACAACCAATAAAGGCATTGACATTCTATGAAGACCATCTCTATCTTTAGGCAGAGTGAGATGGCCACCTCAGACTACTAAGTTTTGTGTGTACCGAGAAGGAAGGAAATAATCTTGTAGAGCATGGGAGCAGGTAGTGCTGAAGGGGAAAATGGAAGGACAAAGGAAGAGGGGCAGACTAAGGGTAAGATGGATAGATGGTATCCTTAAAGTGATTGGTCTGACCTTGAAGGAGCTGGGGGTGGCAAGAGCAGACAGGGAGCTCTGGCATGGGCTGGTCCATGAGGTCATGAAGAGTTGGAAGCTACTGAACAAATTAACAACAAAGTGTCTGAAGATATCAGGCTGGCTCCCCATCATATATTAGCTATGGCATACCCGCATTACATTTTCTGTTAGGACTGAAAGTACCATCTTGTGGTACATGATAACGAACATGTCTGAAGTCATCCAACAGTTTGAACTGTTGTTAGTATACTGATGAAACTTGTTTACATTTGTCTTTCTCATATGAAGCTGAACAACTGCTGAATTATTGTCACAACTAGACAATATCAGAACTGGTGCAAGGATTAATAGAATAAAACTGAATTATGACAAGGCAGACACTATGGGTAGATGATTTTTGGATCTAGTCTGGCTTTGAGGGACTGTATTCCCACAGAAGGAGCAGACTTACAGGCTGAGTGCACTCCATTCATCAACATTGTCATTTGAGAGTGCCACCTGCTGCTTTTGTAGCAAACAGCATCATTTGGGCTTTAGAAATTCAACTACATACTGCAGAATTTGATGGCTAGAAATCTGTCAAGTGAAATGGGACAGTTAAAAAGATTTTGATATGTTTGCACTTGCTTTTGAGTCCAATGCAAGATGGTAGTGCTGATCCTTAAAGCCCTGTTATAACTTGGAACACAAAGGATTTTTTTCTCCTAACACCAACCACACAATGCACTGAAATGATGAGAGCCCTCTATAAGTACCAGCATTAGAAGGGGTTTTTGAAGGTACACAGCAGGAAGCCTTTTTTTTTTTTTGCTGGTGATGTCCATCTGAAGAATGCCATCTCTAGGCAGATTGGTGCAGACATTCTTTCATTCTGACACTATTTTAATTTGCCCAATTGATTTTATTATTTCTGTTTGGTTGTATTTCTATTGTTGTCATTCATTTTTTTAATTGCCATGATGCTTGTTTGGTTCCTTATTTGGACACTGTAATTGCAATGCTGAACTAAATAAAACAACCCACCAGTGTCTGGAATCCATTTCTGGAAACTAAAGTAAAGTAAAGTAAAGAAACAAATAAGTAATAGGAAAACTCTATGTCATTATCCCCCTGAGACTGGGTTGAAGTGACCAGCTGGTCTGACCAACTTTATGAAGTTGTTTTGGCCTCACTTGCCTTCTCCTGTCCAACTCTTCCAGACAAAACAGTTATCTCCCAGTCCAAGGGGCATTCATTCCAATCAGATGGCTCTCATGCCAGTTCTAGATCTCTGTTGGGTTTGCCATGCCATTCCTCGAGCTGTCGCTCTCTGCCCCATCTGTCACTTCATTTACAGCCACCCTCCTAACTCATGCTTTCCAATCCAGGGTTAGGGCTACCAACTATCCAAGGAACCTCAGTGGGGGCATATATACATTGATTAGATTGATCTGAAACAGGCATAGAAATAACTGATTTCATTGTGCAGATGATTTCATGTGAATTCCTGGAACTGGTTTGAGGCCTGGATGTTAATTTTATGCACCACAGAGGTTAGCCTAGAACCAGTTCAAGGATCTGCAATATCCTCAGCTTCATTGAGGAATCAGCCTTTTTACCTCCCCCTGATGCAATGCATATGTGCAGAGTGCCAGAGCACCTGTCTCTTGATCAGATTCACCTTGTGATGTGGTTTACATTTAAGTGCACTGATACGCAATACAGGCTCTGTTCTGAAGCACTGCCCGACCTTGCTTATCCTGGTTTAGAGCCCTTAATATGAGTTTACAGTGTGCGGCATAGGCCCCATCTACATTGACCATTTAATGCAGTTTGAAGCTAGTTAGCTTCAAACTATGGTGGCTAGACAACAAATTGCAGACACCGCAGACATCCTGTGACAACGCAGCATGTCTCCTTAAAAGCCAAATCCACTGTTTTAGCAAGGTAAAACCCTTAATACCCATAAAAAACCATGAAAGAAAGCCCTTAATACACATCAGTGGCTTATCTAATTGCCATCTGGGCGTCAAACTGGTTCCAGGATTTCCTACATAATCAAGAGAAGTCACAGACCCACTGCATTCTTCTTTGGTCAGACCTGCAATTCTGCGTCACAATTCAAGAAGGGTATTGACACGCTGGAAGATATCCAGAGAAGAGCAATCAAAATGATCAAAAAGGTTTGGAAGTCATGCCCTATGTGTAGTGGCTGAGGCAGCTGGGTATACTTCAGCTTGGAAAAAAGACGGCTGAGAAGGGGCATGATAGCCATGTTTAAACATTTGTACATATATCACATTGAGAAGGAGGCAAACCCGTTTAATGCTGCTCTGGAGACTAGAGCATGGAGCAATGGATTCAAACTGCAGGAAAAGAGATCCCATGTAAACATTAGGAGGAGCTTCTTGAGGGAAAGAGATGTTTGGCAGTGGAATGTGCTGCCTTGGAGTGTAAATGAGTATCCTTCTCTGGGGGTTTTTAAACAGAGGCTGTCTGGTCCTCTTTTGGGAGTGCTTTGATTGAGTATTCCTGCATGGGAAGAAGGGGTTGAACTAGATCAGCATTTTTCACCCTGGAAGTCGGGACCCTTGAGGGGTGGAGTTGCGCAGGGGTGTCAGTGAGGTCATCAAAGACCATCAGAAAACAGTATTTTCTGTTGATCATGGGGGTTGTGTGTGGGATGTTTGGCCCAATTCTATCATTTGTGGAGTTCAAAATGCTCTTTGATTGTAGGTGAACTATAAATCCCAGCAACTACAACTACCAAAGGTCAAGGTCTATTTTCCCCAAACTCCACCAGTGTTCACATTTAGGCATATTAAGTATTCATGCCAAGTTTGGTCCAGATCCATCATTGTTTGAGTCCACAGTGCTCTCTGGACATAGGTGAACTGCAACTTCAAAACTCAAGGTCAATGCCCACCATACACTTCCTGTATTTTCTGTTGGTCATAGGAGTTTGGTTCAATTCAATCCTTGGTGGAGTTCAGAATGCTCTTTGATTGTAGGTGAACTATAAATCCCAGCAACAATAACTCCCAAATGACAAAATCAACCCCCCCCCCCCCCCCCCCCCCCCCAATCCCACCAGTATTCAAATTTGGGCGTATTGGGCATTTGTGCCAAATGTGGTCCAGTGAATGAAAATACATCCTGCATATTAGATATGTACATTATAATTCCTAACAGTAGCAAAATTACAGTTATGATCTAATAATGAAAATAATTTTATGCTTGGGGGTCACTGCAACACGAGGAACTGTAAGGGGTCATGGCATTAGGAAGGTTGAGAACCACTAGACTAGATGGTCCTTGCGGTCTCTTCCAACACTATGCTGATATTTGCACAGCGAAAGCACTTTCTTCAATATTGTTTTGAGACTGACTTAAGTGGTGAGTGTAGATGTGCTCTGAGTTTTTACTGAGTGTTCCTGCATGGGAGAAAGGGGGTTGGACTAGATGGCCCTTGTGGACTCTTCCAATACTATGCTGCTCTTTGCACAGCGAAAGAACTTTCTCCAATACCGATTTGAAACTGACTTAAGCGCTGAGTGTAGATGTGCCCTGAGTCTTGACTTAAGTGTTCCTGCATGGGAGAAAGGGGTTGGACTAGATGGCTCTTGAGGTCTCTTCCAACACTATGCTTCTATTTGCACAGCGTAAGCACTATCTTCAATATTGGTTTGAGACTGGCTTAAGCTGTCAGTGTAGATGTGCCCTGAGTCTTGATTGAGTATTCCTTGGACTATATGGCTGTTGTGGTCTCTTCCAACATTATGCTATTTGCACAGTGAAAGCACTTTCTTCAATACTGGTTTGAAACTGAATTAAGCCATCGGTGTAGATGTGCCCTGAGTCTTAACTGAGTGTTCCTGCATGGGAGAAAGGGGCTGGACTAGATGACCCTTGTGGTTTCTTCCAGCACTATGTTGCTATTTGCACAGCATAAGCACTTTCTTCAATATTGGTTTGAAACTGACTTAAAACTTCAGTGTAGATGTGCCCTGCGTCTTGACTGAGTCTTCCTGAATGGGAGAAAGGACTAGATGGCCCTTGTGGTCTCTTCCAACACTATGCTTCTATTTGCACAGAGTAAGCACTTTCTTCAATACTGGTTTGAGACTGACTTAAGCTGTCAGTGTAGATATGCCTTGAGTCTTGATTGAGTGTTCCTGCATGGACTGTCAGTGGTTATCAACCTGTGGGTCCCCAGGCAGGCCCGTAGCCAGGATTTCCTTTCGGGGGGGGGGGGGCTGAAGCCCTTCAAGCCCCCCCCCCCGCTATATGGCTGTCCCCAGGTGTTTTGGCTTACAACAGCCAGTTCACCAGCTGTTAGGACTTCTGGGAGTTGAAAGCCAAAACACCTGGGGACCCACAGGTTGAGAACCACTGGAGATGGTCCTGTAGTAGTGATAGGCTCCTTTTCCTCCCTGGATCCCCTTTCCAAGTTGTTGTCCCCCCCTGCAGCCCCTCTCTCTCGGCCTGCCCGCCCTCCTTTCGCAGAGGCCAGCGGGCAGGCAGCTCCCTCCAGCGGCGCCGGCCGAGGAGGAGGAGGGCAGGCGGCCGAGTCCCTATATGGCGCGGAATGCCTGGCCGCCACCCCGCCTCTCGTTCGGGCTTTGCTTTTTTGGAAGCCGCTCCCCCTTTTCCCCGCGGGATGAGGTAATGCGGGGCTCCGATTGGTCCGAGGGGCGGCACCCCAAGAGCCCGAGAGGGGCGCGATCGAGGCTATAACTCCCCGCAGTCGCAGTCGGAGCAGAAGGAAACTCCGGCGAGGAGGAGGAGGAAGAGAGAAGCACCGCCTTCCGTCCCCAGAAGCGCCGAAAGACAAGGAGGGCGACGCAAAGCACAGCCCTTTCTTTCTCCAGCAACCAAAGCCGAAGGGTCCTCTTGACTGCCTGCCCCCTTTTCCCCCCTCGTGGCGACATGTCGAGGTGGGTGCTGAGCCTGTTCGTGCTGCTCTGCAGCTGGAGGCTGAGCGACTTGTTGGTGGGAGCCTGTACCTGCGTCCCCGTCCACCCCCAGGATGCCTTCTGCAACTCCGACATCGGTGAGTCTCCCCATCCTTTCCCCCAAACAGCTGGCCCTCTTCCCCCTCCAGAACACAACTCTGAGGTCCTCCCTGGTGTTGACTCTGAAACCTTGGACTTGGTGGGTTGCCAAGGGCTGAACAACCAGCCTTCATAAAAACCCTAAGACAAACTAGTTCTCTTTGTGCTACACTTCTGAGTGACACTTTGGATGTACGTTGTACCCTGGGCATCCCACAGATAGATAAACTTCACTTGCCTAGTTTCCAGCAGACCCCTCAACCTCAGAGGATGCCTGCCATAGATGTGAGTAAAACCTCAGGAGAGAATCCTTCTGGAAAATGGACATACAGCCCGGAAAACTCACAGCAACCCAGTTTATTTGCCATCTTTACCAGGGATGTGTAGTTTGGGGTTAAAGTTCTCTGCTACAAAGTTTGAAGGTGCACCTATACTGCAGAATCCTGAGTTTTGTACTTCTTGAGATGCCACTAGATAGTTGTAGTGTACTAGCGTAGGTAAGTCAACTAAGGGTGTATCTGCACTGTGGACTGAATGCAGTTTCACATCACTTAAACTACCTAGTTCAATCTTGTGGAGTCCTGGGATTTGTAACTTGGTAAGATACCAGCACTCTTTGGCAGAGAAGTTTGAAAACCTTGTAACACAGTGATTCTCAACCTATGGGTCCCCAGATGTTTTGGTTTTCAACTCCCAGAAATCCTAACAGCTGGTAAACTGGGAGTTGTACGCTAAAACACCTGGGGACCCACAGGTTGAGAACCACTGTAACACTACAGCTCAATGCACTTTGATCCCATTTTAATTGCCCATGGAATCATGGGAGTTGTAGTTTTACAAGGTCTTTAGTCTTTTCTGCCCTGGTGGCACAATGGGTTAAATAAACCCTTGTGCCAGCAGGACTGAAGATCGACAGGTTGGAAGTTCGAATCCAGGGAAAGTGCAGATGAGCTCCCTCTGTCAGCTCCAGCGCCCCAGGCAGAGACATGAGAGAACCCTCCCACAAGGAAGGTAAAATATCAAAACATCCAGGCATCCTCTGGGCAATGTCCTTGTAGACAGTGAAGTCTCTCACACCGGAAGCGACTTGCAATTTCTCAAGTCACTCCTAACACTAAAATAATAGCCTTCTTTGCCAACAAGTTCTGAAGCCTCACCAAACTACACGTCCCAGAACTCCATAGTATTGAGCCACAGCAGTTAAGAGTTGTACCTGACTACATTAATTCTAGAGTGTACATCACACATGGGCAAACTTTGTCTCTCCAGGTGTTTTGGACTACAGCTCCCACAATTCCTAACAGCGGGTAGGCTGTTAGGAATTGTGGGAGTTGCAGTCCAAAACATTTGGAGGAACAATGTTTGCCCATGCCTGGTGTAGATGCATCTTTAGTCCACTTACCTGCAATACAGTGCTACAACTCTCTTCCAGCATCTCAAAAATGGGAAAACACAGGATTCCATGGGATGGAATGATGCCTGATAATGTGGTGTCAAACTGTTATAACTGTGCAGTGTGGATATGCCTTCAGTTCCAGCAGAATTATACCTGCTGCTATTGAGAATGTTCTGTGGTGCAAGTGTGGGCTAGTATGTCAGGGATGAGTTTCTGGACAGCTTTTTGGAAAAGTAGGATAGGGGAGGCCAATACGCTTTAACCAATGTAATCTAAAACAGGACCTGCCAGATATTGATGAAATGTAATTCCATCAGCTGCAGTTAGTATAACTGATAGGTAGGAGTGATGGGTGTGGTAGTCTAAAAACATCAGGATGATCACAGGGGCCCAACCCCAACACAAGGGAATTGAACAATATCGAAACATTTACTTCCAGATGTGGTGGAAAATCTGTCATACTTGCTCACGCTATTGTTTATAAATATCAACAAAGCATTGTAGAAAGAAGCCCCAAAGGGGGGAAATGTCTTTCAGTGCTTTTCTTCATAACTGTTAGCATTATCATTCTTGAACTCAGCTCTCAAAATTCTTACTTGCACCTGTCAATCGAATTTGCAAACTTTTGCCAGGAAGTTTTTTCTATGAAAAAGAAGAGCAGAAACAGAGGGCAAGTTATCTTGTTCTAAATCTGAAAATTAGCCTTTTATAGCAATTTATAGCCTCTGGTGGCACAGAGGATTAAACCGCTGAACTGCTGAACTTATTTATTTGTTATTTGCAGTATTTATATACCACCTTTCTCACCCCTGGGGGGGCTCAAAACTTGCTGATTGAAAGGTCAGTGGTTCGAATTTGGGGAGTGGGGTGAGCTCCTGCTGTTAGCCCCAGCTTCTGCCAACCTAGCAGTTCGAAAACATGCAAATGTGAGTAGATCAATAGGTACTGTTTCAGCAGGAAGGTAATAGTGCTCCATGAAGCCATGCTGGTCACATAGCCTTGGAGGCGTTTACGGACAACGCCTACTCTTTTGCTTAGAAATGGAGATGAGCATCACTGCCCAGAGTCGGACGTGACTAGACTTAATATTAGGAGACACCTTTACCTTTACTATAGCACTTCATCTCTGCAGCTTCCTCCCTTGTTGGATATTAGATCAGAGAAAGACCTCAGGTTTCTTTTCTACGCAGTGCACTTTGAACTGTGTATGTGTGTGTTTTTTCCTAAATCTAGATTTTCAGAAAGAGAGAAAAGAACTACCATTGCCTTATTTGACTAAATTCAATCATTTTTTGTGAGTGCTTTGTGAAGCTTTTAATAAATGGTCCAGCTGTTTACATTACAGCATTGATGCTGATGGACTTAAAGTGTCCTTCCTCTCTCTTGGATTTGGTTGCTACTAACTGACCACGTAACACTCTTACTTCAATCAGTGTCTAATGATCTACAACAACTGTTTAAGAACTTATTCTTGTTAGACAACGCTGTGTGTGGCACCAGTTGATCTTTCACCTGGTCTGAAATGAAGCTCTGGTACCTTATTCACTATTATGGTCACATTACTGTTAACTTGAGAGCAGGAAGCATTGCTCACCTCAAAGCTTCAATCTGACCTGTGGTTTTGTGGTTACATATTTGATGTATAATACATAAACTCATACTCGCAATCTCTGGCCACATAATGGCAGGCTGTCTGCTATTGCTCTCATTCCATATTGGTGTAAGACAGTAGTTCTCAACCTGTGGCTCCCCAGGTGTTTTGGCCTACAACTCCCAGAAATCCCAGCTAGTTTACCAGCTTTTAGGATTTCTGGGAGTTGAAGACCAAAATATCTGAGAACCCACAGGTTGAGAACCACTGGTAAGACCTTCTTTACATTAGGAATCCAGCCAAGTTTATGATTACTTCTGTTCCCATGAGGACCTGTTTACAGGGCAAACTGCAAATGCCCGTATAGTTACTAGTTTGCACAAGTTTTAGGTAGGCAAAGTACAGCCCTCCAAATACTGTTGGGCTGCAAATCCCAGCACTCTTCATTGTCATGGCTACGACCAATGGCTGTTGCATCCAGTTGTATAGAGAGGCTGAACTTTGCTAACTCCTGATGTAGACTGATATTTTCAGCATATCACAACCACAGCTAAGATATTTACAAGGTGAACTGCATGGATTGCATGATAAACATGCTCTTAAGGGGAAGTTATGTGGGTGAAACCATTTCCTTAGATTTTGACTACTACTGAAACAGAAACGGAGGTGAAAGTAACTTCTTTGTAAAGACTATCACACATATAGGATGGTGTGTACATGTATGCACTCTCTCTCTTTCTCATAACACATGTAGGGAGATGGGAGGCAGAAAGATAGTTTCTTCTTTGAATATGCCTCATAGAAAGGCAGTGGGAAACCTCATCTGAGTAAAGCTTGCCAAGAAAACCCTTGGAGGGGGCCTCCAAAAGTCAGAGTTAACTTAAAGTCATATAACAAGCAATGGATTCATATTGCTTTGTGGTAAAGCTGATTCTGAAATAAGAGGAAAGTGTGTTTATAGATATTTCATTGTTGATACTGAGAAATCTGTTGTTTATTTAAAGCACGGTTTGCTTTTTTATTTCTAAAAGTAGAAAACCCAACATAACTCCCATGAACTTTTTTAAAGAAAAAAAATCCAGACTTGGAGTTTTTAGCCAACTTCACTTATTCATGTCTAGCTTAGGTAGTATATCAGGTGATGAAAGCCAAGAAAAACTTCACATATTAAAAAGTGCTGGGAAGGCAGTTTTACTTGAGTAATTTTAGACTGGAAAATTCTGTAAATGGTATTATATCAGAGGATAAATTTGAATGGCTGGGACAAATCAAAGTTCACTCAAATTTTTTTATTGCTGCTGCTTGCTTTGCTTTGCAAGAGTAGGTGTGTCTAGTCAGGGATGGCTGCCAAAGTGAGCTGGCCTTTCTAAGAAAACATAAAAGCTTTGGAAAACTATTTCCTTCTATATATGAGAACTTTCCATGCACCCCTTCTTTGCTGAGATGTGTGAGGATGTGTGACGCTATTAACCATAACTTCTCTGGCTAGTAATTGGCTGGTGTACTAATTTTACTATGAAGTAAACATGTGGAAAGGGGAAAGCAGGAAGGGTTTAGCACAAGAGTACGAGTGAATTTAATAATAAAAAATAATATAACCTCACTACCTCTGAGGATGCTTGCCATAAATGCAGGCGAAACATCAGGAGAAATGCCTCTAGAACACGGCCCTATAGCCCGAAAAAACCCACAAGAACCTAGTGATTCCAGCCATGAAAGCATTCGACTATACAAAAATAATATAGTTTTTTGAGAGGGCTACAATAATAAACAATTGGTATTCACAGCACTATATGTGCTGTACATAGATACTGTGCCTAGATTTTCCTTAAATAGGTGATATTACATATCTTCCAGCCTTCTCTGTTTACACATAGTCCCTTTTTAGTGGTTTCCGCCCATGGGAGAATGGTTCCTATTTGTTTGTTAATATAAATATGAATTGTGAACAGTACATAAGGCAAGCAGAAGTTATGAAGAATTTCCAGTATTAATTAGTATCATTTTGTTTG